CTGGCTGGCTGGCTATAAGGGTAGAATTGACTTCTAATACAGACATCCATCCCCCACCCTTAGTGTGGGCCGGGCCTGTGCCTGCACCTGGAGGTACAAAGAGAAGGAAGACAGGGCTCTGACCTTGAGGGCTAGAGGTCAGAGGAATCAGTAATTATGCAAAAAACTGGACATTCTCCTCCCTCAAAAACTGTCTCTTTGTCATCGGTCCTTTTATGTTCCCCAGCCCATTAAAATCACTATTATGTTGTTTTATTTTTTTCTCTTTTCTGGCTTTCTTGGACTGTGTAAATATGATTTAAAATTTCCATAACTGCCTCACTTAATGGCAACCTAAATGATTTGCTTTCAGAAAGAAAAAACGAGTTGGAACTTTAAATTTATATATAGTGGATACCTATAAGCAATAATGGCAAGATTCTTGAGCAATAAAATTTAAATGATATATCTGTTCCTTTCAAATAATAGCATAAGAGAAATTTACTCTCCTCCCCTTCACAGTCTTCTCTTCCTCCTTAGAAAATGCAATTCTCCTTCATTCCTCAGGACCTTAGAATATGCTGTGCCTGGTTCCTAAGCTGTTTTTCCCCTACCCCTCAGTGTTTTACTCTATTTTTTCCCTTTACCTTAATAGCAGTAAAAATCATCTATTGTTTAGGAGTAGAGGGGATGATCGGGCAGTTGTCTGGCAACATGCAGAAAAAAGTTGATTGTCTTGAGTTTTTATTCTCTACCTCTTGTGCTTTGACCTTGTATAATCACAGCTAGTTCTCTTAAATATATAGCTAAATTCATTCATCATTTACATATTCATTTCTTCAGGACGCTTTTATTTAGTGCCTGCACAAAGTCCGTTGAACCCAAATTTTCGAGGTCTGAAATTGTGGGCTGGCTGGCTGGCTATAAGGGTAGAATTGACTTCTAATACAGACATCCATCCCCCACCCTTAGTGTGGGCCGGGCCTGTGCCTGCACCTGGAGGTACAAAGAGAAGGAAGACAGGGCTCTGACCTTGAGGGCTAGAGGTCAGAGGAATCAGTAATTATGCAAAAAACTGGACATTCTCCTCCCTCAAAAACTGTCTCTTTGTCATCGGTCCTTTTATGTTCCCCAGCCCATTAAAATCACTATTATGTTGTTTTATTTTTTTCTCTTTTCTGGCTTTCTTGGACTGTGTAAATATGATTTAAAATTTCCATAACTGCCTCACTTAATGGCAACCTAAATGATTTGCTTTCAGAAAGAAAAAACGAGTTGGAACTTTAAATTTATATATAGTGGATACCTATAAGCAATAATGGCAAGATTCTTGAGCAATAAAATTTAAATGATATATCTGTTCCTTTCAAATAATAGCATAAGAGAAACACTAAATGATGGTAGGAAGAATATTAATATTTTCCATTAAAATAAAGTATTATTAAAATGGGGGAATACTTCACTTCCTGCATCTCATGTTCATCTCCCAAGTGAATTAAAGCAGTTCTGAGGGACTGCTCTTTTATTGGCTGCAGCAAATAATGTGCTCAACAGATTTATTCTCTCTGGTCATCACCATTATCATCAGCAAACACTCTCGGAGCACCCATTGTAGGCAGGCGACGTAGCACCGAGGGCTTTTCATCTCACTGGGAGGATGGGGCATATTTATAACAAAGACAGATAACAACGCGGTGCACTAAGTGCCAAACAAATGATATAGAAAACCTGGGTAGCAGGAGTTTAAAGTAGGGAGAAGTCATTGAAAGGAGGCGAGGCCTGGCTCTAGAATGAAAGGCAGGTTTCAGACTAAAGAGGAAGATGGAGCATTTGCAGATAAGGGAACATGGTGTGTAGCAACACAGATGCCCACGAAGCACGTGGCCAAAAAAGCCCCTCGAAAAGCAAGGGGAGGGCCACGTGGTACCAAATATGTGGCAGAACAAGGGTTAAATCAGTGGACTGGATGATAACCATTAACACTCACACAGGGTCTGCAGATGTGGCCTGCAGCCTGTATGCATACTGCAGGGTAATTTATGCTTATTAACTCACTTGACTTTCACAACCCTCCTGTGAGGGAGTCGCAATTTTACAGATGAGAAAATTGAGGCAAGGAGCAGCTAACTGATTGCCCCAGATCACCCAAAACACGGAAGGATCCCGACCCAGACATTCTGTTCCTGCACTCTGAGCCCTTGGTCTCCACTGGAAGGGTGTGGGATTCTGGAATTCTCCCGTTATGTGGAGGAGGGCTCTGCCGATCGCATTCTCGGGGGACTGTGAAGAAAGGAGACTTCCTCTGGCTGTCGTGCGGCGGAGGAAGGTGCAGTGACTGGATGCAGGGTGCTTCCCAGTGGACGTGCTGAGGCCCCTGAGGGGTGATGGGGTCCCCGGGCCATGGGACCTCTCAGACCTCGGAAGACCTGCAGAAGGCCGGGGCGCTGGGAGCACCTGGCTGGCGGCCTCCCAAACATAACAGCATCCATCTCCCCAAGTGAAGGCTAGTACATTCACATGTAAGAGGGGACGGGACAGAGCATTTGTGACCAACACCAGGCTTGTGAATTCAGGTGTCTGAGGGGGCAGTCCTGTCGGAACAAGAGGGTCCTGAGGAGGGGCTGGTTCTGGGAAACATGATGACAAGACAGCTTTCAGTATATTATGTTTGGGTGCCAGGGCATTTAGTTAAGACTTGCTAGTTTGTGTGCTTGTTCCTGATATTTTGACAAAGTCCTTATTGATTTTTTTCCTGAATGAATTCCTCAAATTTTTCCAACTTTAAATCTCAAGTAATAAAAGATGCAGGATTTAAAGTGTGGAAAGACCAAGTTTTCATCAGGAGTTTGAAGATGGCCTTGCAATAATGAGAAAGCAAGCAACCAGTTAGACTTTCCAAATGCACTGAGAGTGTTCTAGAGAATTCTGCAGTCCAGAGAGAGGGATGGAGAGCTCTGGGCCTGGAAGCAGACACCTGGGTTTAGAAACTCTGGTTTTACCATCACTGGCTGAGTGTGCAAAGTCACTTAACCTTTCTGTATCTCCAGTTCTGCCATCTGTAGAAAGGGGGTAAGAATGGTGTCTACCTCACAGAATTGCGGGGCTCATAGGAATTAATGCATATGAAAAACTTAGTATAGCTTCAGGCATCCTTAACTCATAGATATTAATACAGAATTGATGAATCAAAACCCCTGCACATGGCAAATGCCCACAAACACAAGCACGAATGCTCATAGGCATGAGTGGGGGCTGTGGGAATGTAAGTTACTGCATCTAGTCGAGGGCTAAATTTTAACGTGGCAGAGACTTGAGGAGTAGATAATACAGCATCTACCGGAGCATGTTCATTAAATTCTTGACAAGCTAAATGTTTAGAACCACCCTCCCTGGGCCCTGAGAGGCTGGGACATATGGGTGGAGAACATCGATGGATGAAATGTCTATTTAACCCGATCCAAGAGAAATAAACTTAACTCGTGAACTCCTGGTAAGCAGAGGTTATAAATGTTTTTCTTCTGTTTCCTCACTTACTGATTTATTAATTATTTTTTCTGATTAGAACAGTGACACTTGGTCACTGGGAGAATTTGGCATGTATAGAAGGGTATTAGAAGGAACAAGTCAACAATTCAAATAGAAACTTTGTGCTCACATTATTGCTCTTTTTTTCTATCCATATTTTTTACAGGGCTAAGCTGATATTGTACAGTGAAGGCTCAATCTTGCTTTTTTTTTTTTTTGGTTTAGCAGCATTTTACATAAAATTTTTTCCCCATAACTCTCCATCAATATTCTCAATGAATACACAATATCCCGTAAAATGGTGACTCCCTCATTTCATAACCATTTTACTGAAGTTGAACTTCTAGGTCCTTCCTAATTCTTGTTTTCATAAATAACACCATGATGAACATCTTCATGTTATGTCTTTGTGTTTTGGCTTATTTCTTTGGGAATAATTTCTGAAAGGGAAAATCCGAGAGGACACCCATCTCCCAAACACCACTCCCCTACCCATCTTTTTAAGCAATAGTGCATTGCCCAGAGAAGAAGTTTCAGAATTTACTATGTTTTAAAACTCAAGCTGACTTGGGTTAATGATAATAATTTTTGGCTCCCATAGAAGAAAAACTTGATCCTGAAGATGCTACAGCACTGAATAAGCATTGACAAACAAGAAAATGTAGGCAATGGGCAAGGTAACCTCCACATTTTCAGCCCATGTAATTCCTCCAGGAAATGAAGGAGAAAGACTTGCTCCTTGATACATCAAAACTATTTTTAGTGGTAAAAAATGATCGTCTTAAAACTTAGTTCTTAAGTGTCTTAGAACTCACACTTTCAGAGAGGAAATAGACCTCTCAATGTCTGGCATGTTTCTACATTTCAGGACTGCCTAGACTTCTCTCCGAGGTCCAAGCCCAGTGGATACTCTTACCAGGATGCCTGTTTTGGCCTCACTGGCCTTCTCTGGCTCAATGTGCCTCTGGAGATCAAGATGGTCCCAGATATTACAAGTGTAAATACACTCCTGCTTTAGGCAACCCTTATGCCAGGGAGATATTTTATGGATGTAAAATTCTGAGAGTATTTAGGAATGAAAACATCTTCAGTTTTCTGTTTCTACTGAAAATTCATACATTCTTTCAGGATAATCCATTGATTTATATTAAATTAATTTACCTCTTCAAAGCTCGTCTCTGTTTAGTACAGAAGTGAATATATGTATTTGACAGGAATGAAAAATCATCATCACATACAAGAAGCCATCTTGTATGTATGCAATATGAGCCTTGTAGAGAACTTCGCAATGTGACCTCTGTAACAGTCTATAAGGCACTCAGTGGGCAAGTTGCTTTTTTGGCTCTCACATTGAAAATGACATTAAAGAAGGTTAGACGACTTGCTCAACATCCTGGGGAATAAAGGACAAGCCAAGAATGATCTAGTAACAATCTTGCTAGAACATTCTGTTCACCCGAGAGTAAATGGAGGAGGCTGGGGATCCCTGTCCTTACCGGAGGGTTTGATGAGCACCGCCAGGAAGTCGGTGGTGAAAGAGCTGATGTAGAGGAGGATGCAGGGCGCCTTGGTGGTGCTGAAGCTGAAGTGAACCTCCTCACGGGCCAGGTCTGGGGGCGCGGACTGCTGCTCCGGGGAGTTCTCGGACCTACCGCCCGGTTCTCTGGCACTGACCCCTGACGCCTGGAAGTTATACCGCAGCCACATCCCCTCTTCAAAAAATGCACCAACATCTATTGGAAAGAGAAGAGAAAAATTGAGAAATGAGGAGAAGTCTGATGCTGCTAGCACCAACAGATTCAATGTGGCAGGGTGTTAATTCTGCAGTGGCCTCTAAGGCAGTTCATGGACGGCAGACCCTGGCTCCAGAAGGGCATCGACTGGGCACACTTCTACACAGCTGGACCTTACTTTATCATCACAATCAATCAGAAAAGAAAAAAAAAAAAGAAGAGAAAGCATGTGACAGAGTAAGGAGATCTGTAAACTTAAAAAAAATAGTAAAACTTAAGTAAAAAATAAAAAATGGGAAAAATTAAGAGTAAAAATTAAGTAAAAAAGGTAGTACAATTAAAAAAAATGGTAAAAATTAAATCATACCAGAAAAAGTTTCATGTACCATTCTCAGACCAAATAACTAATTAAGGCTGAGGAGGAATCCTCACAATACAAGCGGCGTTAAGACTTGAACAACCAGTTGACGGAGCTCAGGGGCTTCCTCGCTGAGCCTGGAGATATTTGGGATGTTCACACAGGAACGCCCTTGACGCCCGGCTCGGGCCTGGAGGCTTCGCAGATGGTGTTCAATCCCAAGACGTGAAGGGAAAGAGAAGGGGGCTCAGATTTGGCACCCCCATTGATTAGCTGTGTGGCCTTATGGGGAGTTACTCAACCAACTTCTCTAGGCCTCAGTATTTTACATGTGAAAGGGAGATAACAGAATTACACAAGAAAATGTAAAGAAATCAGCACAGAATACGTAGTACCTATTGTTATTATTATTATAAGAAATTAGAAGGAAGGTTCCCAGGCCATGCACCTGTGTTTTCCTGTGGCCTAATCTGTGCTCCCTGGTTTTTAATCACTTCCTAGCAGATGAGCTCCTGCCGCAAGTTCCCCCATCGTTTGCCCCCTGACCCCCGTGTTCTAACGCCGCCTCCTAACTCACCGGGAAAGGCTGAGGCGCCCTATTAAGGTTTGGTCTGCAGAGTTACTGTTTAATTGCCATGTGCACATGCCCTTCTGCAAGCAGACGGGCTGGCGTACCTGGCGGAGCAGGTAGCTGAGCAGCCCCGTCAGGGGAGACGTTACGCGTTTCTCAGCCAAAGAGGCGAAGATCAGATGATCGTTCCAAGGCAGATCATGAAAGGAAATTTGGAAAACTAAGGATTTTAGATAAACAAACCAAAAATATGCCACAGAGAATACTCGTGGTGTATTTTAGAGTTGCTGTTATAAAGCTTTATGGATTCATGTCAGTTTTGGAGGAAGGAATATACCATGCTTGAAAGTGTTGGGTCTGAAACCAGGTCATAAAACCAACTGTTAAAGCAGGGCCGGGAGCGCAGTGAACCATTTAAGTTTTGCAGTGGCAGATTTACAGCTGTCAATTCACTGTTTTGGATAGTTTTAAGGAAATGCCAAACCAGGGTAGTGTAATATCATTTAGGGAAGTAATACTTCCATCCTTTCTGAATGAATAATTAAAATAACACTCATTTAATAAGCCCTAAATAATATTATTCCTCACTAAGTGACCAAAAAGTATTGATTCAGAATGCTTCCTTTTTACCTTCTGCTATAAACCCCTTGCTGCCCTCCAAAGCTCTCTTCTGACTCTTCCCAGCTACCCGGATCCTGAAAGCTCTGCACAGCTACTCTGTGATCCTGGGGAGCAGCCACTGCACTAGCAGAGGCACAGGCCTCCTGGTCACTAAACCTTTCATGGCTGAAATCCATTGCCCAGAATGGTCACTGTCGTCAGCTGCTTTGTAATGAATTATCTTGTAATAAAGGTAAGTGAATGTTACCCAGCTCTGCTCCCGGAGAACCTGGACACCCTCTTCTGCTTGCATCCCAATTCTGCACGGGGCTGGTCCCTTCCAGGGTGATCTGCAAGGCCAGCCCTGGTTAAACGTGCTTCCTGCTGTGTTCCCAAGGCCCCACTTTCTTGAAATACACCAGCTTCTCTCCCAGCCTTACACTGGCAAGCTCTACCCTCTCTCCCCAAAGCACACCTCTCTGAATTTCCCTTCTGAATTTTTTATTCTGTTTGTTTGATGTTTCCTTCCACTTACTCTAATCATTTTGGACTCAAAATGTTGGAGCCAGGATGGGTTAACATTCACCTCTATTTGTTCTGTTTCCTAAGTGAATACTTGTGTATTGTAACTTTCTCACCATTTCTTTCTAAAGGCCAGGGTACTTCCAAGTCAGTTTCTATGTAATAAGCTTCAAGTGTCTGAATCCGCACAAAGGAAAAAATGTCAAAGAAAAATCTCTCAGGTTCAGCCTGAATGGCATGTGCTGCCCAAGGGACACAAGTGTCAGGTAGATCACTTTAAACACATCAATAAGCTAGATGGACTATGTTGACTGACTAGGAGCCCAGGGCCCTTCTTGCTTGGAGTGTAGGAGCCAGTAGCACTGAACAACTTTACCTGAGTCTTAAATAGGAAGAGAGTTTGCATCTAGAATTTCCAGGGGGCATGCTTCTAAAATTGTGTTAACACGCATTACTGGCATATACGGCAGTCAACAGATCAGAACGTTTCAGGGAAAGCAAGCGAGACGAGGCCCCCACCACAGCACATGTCCTCTGAGGCACATCATGTGGTCCACGTGGAGGGCAGGAGTCAAAGGTGCGGGTTTAGTCCTGCCTCTGCCAACAATTAGCTCTATGCCCCCGGTCGGGCAAGTCATTTAATTGCTGCGGGCTTTAAATCGTTCCCATCTCAAAGAAACCCTCCCTTGAACTTGTGTCTTCCTCTGGCTAGCAAGCAGTCTTTTTCACATATTCTTTGAAGTATTCATGAAGTCTCCTTCATTGCAGGGTGGTGAAGAGCAGCCCCTAGGACACGTGGGGCCAGTGAAGCCAAGGGAAGAGGATTTTATAAGGAGGAACTGGTCAAGGTGAGAATGCTGCTCAGGGATCCAGTTAGGCTTCCCTTCAGAGGGAAAATTCCAGAAGCCCTCTAGTCTGCATTCTTACACCCTCAGGGGTTTTATCTGTTTCCATTCATGAGATTAAGTTGTGCTCACTGAGATCACCAGGAACTTCCTAATCACCAAGCTGATACACAATTTCTGTCCTGGTTTGGCCGACTTGACGCTGGGTGCCTCTGAAACTCTCCGGTTCTCCTTCTGTCTTTGATGTTTCTCGCCAGTCCTCTTCCCTGGCTTTTCTTCCTTGGCTTCTGCTGAAAATGTTGGAACACCGAGGCTTTACATTCAGCCAGACGGTCTTTCCTGAACCCTGCTCCTTGAAAGCCTCATCTCCATCGTCCCCCACCCGCCGCCTTCTGCAGGGAGGCTCCGTCTGGTTCTGCCTTGGAAAACTCAAACTCAAGACATACAGAGCCGAATTCGTGATTGTGTGCAGATCCGTTCCTCTCCCTGGATGCTCCACTTTGATGAGTGACAGCCCATCCGTCTGGCCACACAGAGGCAGACAGCCAGGGGTCAACCTGATCCCTGTCTCCATGGCCTCATAACTGTCCCTTGAATTTGTCCTCTGGCACACCTTTATTCAGGCACTCAGGTCTCACTGACAACTGCAGACACTCCCTAAAGGGTGTCTGCTGATGGATCTCCTATTTTCCATCTTTTAGAGTGACCTTCCTTATATGAGCAGTGTTGCTCCTAAACTTAAATTGCATCCCTCCTAAGACTTGGGATATCATGAGGAGAGGGGAGGGTGTCACTGGATGCATGTCAGAGAACCTGTAAATCTTAGGAAGTTTCAGGCAAAAGTAAGTGGGTATGACTTTTTCTGGGGAGAGGGTGAGTAGTTTTAATGAGATTTTATGACTCCATGTGGCAAAGTTTAAGGGAAAATGATAAAAATCAACTCACTCATATTCACTCAAAACGGATACACTGAGATGCTCAGTGCAGCTAGGCTCTGCGCTAGATGCCACCGACCTCCCGGGCTGACCTACGTCACCCTCATCATGCGGACCTGCCCCTTCTCTGCTGTGCCCCTAGCTGTCTGCGTACACTCCTCAGGTCTGGCTGCACTGGCTTCCTTGCTTCTTGCACGTGGACTCCTTCCCCTCCTTCTCTCACCTGCCCTTCCATTCTGTTCCTCAGTCACCTTCAGCAGCTGCAAGTGCCATCTCCGTCCCTCGTTGCCACATGCAGTGTCGAGGGGCCTCCTTCAGAACCCTCTGCGCAATTTGTTACAACTTTGGTCCAGAAAGTGTAACCTTGTTTGTTTTTGATTTAGTAAATATTCCTTGGAATCTTAGCATAGGGAAGGCCCAGGCTGATGACAGGGCAAATGCAATGAAGGCATTTCTCTGCAGGAGCCCACGTGTGGTCAGCAGAGAGAACAAACATGTCGTCAGGATGCGGTGTGCGACTCAGAATAACAGAATGTGTAGAAAGAAATAGCAGGGGAAGAGACAGATGGGCTCTTTCTGTGGGTGGGGTGTGGCAATGTCTGGATTTCTTTCCTAAGAAGGTGGCTCTGAGTTGGGTGCTGATAAATCTGCAATGTGGATGAGGCAGGCTGGGGCACGCCGAGCATGCAAACAGCATGAGCAAAGGCACGGAAGAGTGGTGATCATCAAATTATGTCAAAGCTCCTCAACCTTGGCTGTGCTTTAAAAAAATATATATGTCTGAGGCGAACTCTCAAAAATTCTGGTATAACTGGTCTGGGGAAAGGCCTGCTTGTTGGCAAATTTCACCCTTTTCTCATATTCCTCTAGTGGGCTGGCAGGGTTCAGGACTGCTGCTCTGGGGGTTTGGGTACACCCTGATACTAAATGTGGGGTGATCCATGCCAGGAGATGCTGCCGGAAAGGAAGGCAGGATGGGGGCTATGAAGGTTCTTTAGTCACTTATTTTTAGAAAGTTTAGAAGAACAATATACTTTGAAATATTTTCAAATTTACAGAAGAGTTGCAAGATCAGTACAAAGAACTCCCATAGCCTACACATCCAGATTCCCTCATTTGTAACATTTCACCACATTCCTCTGTGTGATACATATAGAGTGTGATATAGA